GCCGGCCGTCCCCGTCGCCGTCAGCGTACCCGCCCCGCCCTTCTACCACCATCCCGCGTGGCCTGGCGCCAAGGTCGATGACTCCCTGGCGGCGTTCGAGGGCGATCTGGGTATGGGTGGGGCTGGTGGCGGCAAGGGCGGCAAGAAGAAGGGCGGCGGGAGGGGCAAGGGGCTCAAGGCAGGCTTCAGGCCGGCGCCGCTCAAGATACAGAAAAAGAAGGGCATCCACGCGGCAACCGACCAGCGCCCCCCACCCATGCCGCCGCACTTCTTTCAAGTCGCTCCGCCGGGCGCCATGGGGCCGGGCCCGTTTGTGGCTCAGGGGTTCGCCGTGGGCAATGCGGTGCCTGAGGGCGGGATGGGCGCGATGCCGCCCCCGCCCCCACACATGCAGCACATGATGCCGATACATGGGTTTCTGCCGCCGCTGCCCGAGCACCCCTTCGCGCACGACGTGCGGCGTGGGGGTCCCCCGCCCCCTCCCCATCTCTGGCAGCAGCTGAAGCCTCAGATCTCGTCTGGTGCGCCGGTGACCCCGTCGGGGCGCACGAACGTGAGTCAGACGGGGAGCGAGTCCAACAGCAGCCCCCAGAAGAGGAAGGCCACTCTGCACAACGTGCCCCCCACCTTCTCACACGACGCCCATGTCGACCCCCTGGCCACACAGCGGGACAAGGTAAGGAAGCGAACCAGCACAGCAAGCAGGATGACGCCACTGGTCATTGTGTCTGTGTCTCTCCCTCCCTGTGTGTGTCTCTCTGCGCAGGAGTACTCGCCTCCGCCGCGCGTGATGGTCGCACCGGCCCCCCCGCCCCCCTCCGCGCCACTGCCTGCGCCTGCGGGCTCGCCCGGCATGTCGCCCACCAAGACGACGCTCTCACACCTGTTGTATCCGCCCAACTCACCGCAGCCCCGCCCGAGGCCGACCCCGCCACCGTCGCCGGCCCAGTCGTCTATGCCGCCACCGGCCCTGCCCTTCGGACACCCACATGGCCCTTTCGTTCCACCAGGGCCGATGCCGATGCCCATGCCTGGTGTGGGTGGTGTGGGTGTTGACATGACCAACAACCCGCTGATCAGCCTTGCCAAGGGCGGAGGGCCACCGGTGCACCAGCCACCGCCATTTGCACACGCACAGCAGCCGATGCAGATGCAGCAGTGGCCGCGCCCACCACCACCGCCACCTGCACCACCATCGGCACCGGCCTCCGGTGCTGTGGGTGGCCTGGCCGGGGGAGCGCCTCTCGGAGCGGGGGGCAAGGGAGCGATCGGTCCTGGTGCTGGTGCGGCTTCCGTTATGGGAGCGAGCGCCCTCGGCCTGACGCGCCGGAGCCGCGAGAGCACCCCTGCCGCCGTGGCGAGGGACGCGCCTGATCCATGGGGCGTCAAGGCTGGAGGGGAGGAGGGCGGCACCCCTTCATCGATGGGCCCGTCCGGCGCGTCATGCGACGACGATTCCAAGCGCGCCAACCTCAAGAAGCGGCCGCGTGAGTGGGGCAGCAGCAGCGTGGTGGAGGTGGCCGCCTCGCCACACCCACTGGAGACAGCCATCCCCCCTCTACAGAAGAGAGAGAGCGAGAGCCCGGAGTCGTCATTTCTCAAGGGCGGGCGAGTGGGGATGCGAGGGACCAGCCCTCCGCTGCTGCCGTCGATGTCGCTGCCTGGCGCTGGCGGGAGCGGTCGTGGTGGTGTTGGTGTTGGTGTTGGTGGTGGCCCCCAGCCGATGGAGGTTGACAAGAAGGGACGGGGGGAGGGAGAGGGGGAGGGGGCCACCACGCAGTGAGTGAATCAGTGAAAGAAAGACTGCGGTGTGTGTGTATGTGGCCAAGTGATACAGACAGATAAAACGACAACAATTTTTTCGCACAGAAAGGGCAGGGCGGGATGGATTGATGGATTGGATGCAATTAATCGGCCTGGCTGGTGCGGTACGGTGCTGTGTTCTGGTGCATTGGGTTGCATTGGGTTGCAGCGAGAGGGGGGAGGGAGGGAGGGGGGAGGGTGTGGACGGACTGCCTGCAATGCCCGGCTCGCTCGTTTCTTTGGTTGTGTGCGTTGAGGGGAGGGAGGGAGGGAAGGGGCGAATGAGGGAGAGACAGGGAGAGGGAGGGGGACAGGGAGAGGGAGGTGTGTAGTGCATAGCTGACAAGGCAACGGGCTGCTGGGTTGTTTTTCATCCGCCGATCACATACAGACACACAGATAGACCGACAGACAGACCGACAGACACAGAGACACCCATGGACTTGTGTGTGAAGGTCGAGCCTGCCGCGTCACCTGTTTCGCTTCGCGCGCAAAGCGTCTCTCACACAGTGCATAGCAACCACCAACACACGAGGAAGGGAGAGAGGCGACCCCATTCTCTTTGTTTCCTTCCGATTGCGCGGGCGCCGCGTCATTTTTGCTCATATGATGGATGATGGCCTTCTCTGTGGTGTGGCTGGGTGTGGTGAGCGAGACAGAGGGGGGAGGGGGGAGGGCAGGCAGGCAGGCCGGCAGGTGTGTGAGTGACCATTTAAAGCGTGCTCTCTCCATCTGTGTGTGTGCATCCATCCTCCACTGCTCATCAATCAGAACACACAAACGTACTCACTTGTTGCTTGCTGCCTAATTAGCTCAAGGACTCTCCCTCCGGTCAGCCAAGCCAATCGACACACGCCACGCGCGAAGAGAGAGGCCGTGTGGTGCGTGCCTGCGGTGTCGGTGTCGGTGTGGCGTTCGTTCTTTTGCCCCCTGACGTGTTTGGCAGAAGGGGGCGAAGTCAGGCAGGCAGGCTGGCAGAGACAGACAGACAGACATGCTTCGACCCACCAGATCGGTGCTGTCTGGTGGTGGTGGTGGTGGTGAAATGTGGCTCTTCGTTTGTGTCAAGCGAGAGAGGGGAGGGAGGGAGGGAGGGAGGGAGGGGCCTACTGACTGTCTGTGTGTGTGAATGCGTGTGTGTATGTGTGTGTGCGTGTGCGCTAGTCGGCTGATGTGTGGATGGATGGTGGCGGGCGAAAAAAGAGACTCACTCAGTTAGTCACTCCCGTGACTGATATGAATCGATGGAACACCACACCACACCGCAGCACACACTCCACTGCTGCTGCTGCTGCCGCTGCCGGTGAAGGTGAGGGTGAAGGTGTGTTCGGCTTACCTGACCTGCTGCAATTCACTGGCACCTGAGTGAGTTACCACCTACGGTATGGGGTGTGTAGTGACGTATGTTGTGATCGCACTTACCCACCCCCTGTGTGTGTGGATTGGGGTGGACCAACCTGACATGACCTGACCTGACCCATCGTATCGCTCAACGAACGCCTTGCTGTCAGCCTGCATGTCTGTCTCTCTATCTATCTGTCTGTCTGTCTGTCTGTCTGTGCACCCGTAGTCTACTTGTTGGTTGCAGTTTTGTCGCGGGCAGGCAGGCAGGCCGCACGTGTGGATGAGTGAGCGCATTCAAAATGTTCGTTGGCTGACTGACTCGTCTGTGCCAGCGAGGTGGGTCGGTGTGGCGGTGGTTGTGGGCCTTGTTGGTTGCACTGCTATGCTGGAGGGCCGCACACTTGGACAAGGCAAGTCGTGCATTCCTCCGTTGCAGCTGCCGAGGCATCCAGCCGACGCCACGACGACTCAGTCAGACAGACAGATCTGCCCACACACAGAGAGGGACGAAAACTGTGTACACACACATACACACACACACCACGGAGGACACAGCGTTCCTTCCCTCGTCCCCGGTGGTGTGGGAGAGGGAGGGAGGGGGCCTACCGTCTTTTTGCGAGGCAGCTACCGATCGGCGGCGTGAGTGAGGTTGGGAAGGGGCGGTGGGGGGGTGGGAGAAGGGCATGGCAAATCTCTGGCTGTATGTTTCTGCATTTTTGGCTGCTGCGATCATTGGCACACACACACACACACAGAGAGAGAGAGAGACATCTACTTCTCCCTCTCACCGACCTCCACACAACAACACGCTGCACCTTTTCTACTCACACGCTCTGTCCGTCTGCCCTAGTCTTTCTATCTAAGGCTGATTCTGACCGACCGCTCTACCACGGCCGGCGGGGCCACCCACACTCCTTGACTTGTTCCTTTCTTAACCACACAACCATTCCTCCTCCCTCACTGCGTTTCGTAAAGGGTTTGTTGTATATATCTGAGATGTGTGTGTAGGGTTGGTGGGTGGCCCAGTGGGGTGTGCAGAAAGCGCCCTCTCTCGAGCAACTCGCGTGTCGTCTGGTGGCCCGCCCGTGTGTGGGGGACGGATGGATGGATGGATGGACGAGGGGATGGGGTAATTCAGGTCGTGTGCGTGTTTGTCGGGTGCAAGTCTGTCTGTCTGTCTTTGTGCCTGTGTGTGGTTGTCGCCGCACCCCTCCCTGTCTACCTGTCTACCTGCCTGCCTGCCTGCCTGCCTGCTCGCCTGCTCGCCTGCCCGCTTGTGTGTGTATTGTGGACACCACCAAATTCGCTTAATTGCAATTCTCAAGTGTTCCAGAAGGTCTGTCTGTCTCCACACATTGGTACCAAACAACACACTCACACACACACACTCATTCCACAGGTCTCATATTCTCTTTGCGGTGGGTGAGTCTTTGCCTGAACTGCTTCAGCCCGTCGTAGCCGCCATAAAGCTGCGCATTGCCCGTGAACACCGCCTCGTCCGACGCACACCGCAACAGCGCCCAGCGCAGCAGATTCCCCAACTGCACACACGCAACACACAACACACACACGCTTGGATGGATGGATGCCCTCTGGATGCTCACCGGTCCGTTGACATAGATCTTGTTGAGCTCCTTCCGGCCCATCAGCCGCATGGTGGCCATCCGCGGCCGCCTCAACTCGCTGTAGGCCGACAGCCCCTCCCGCAGACGCGCACTACCCGGCAGCAGGGAGACCGGCCTGTGCGTGACGCCAGCTGCCTTGTCGCCAAAACCATGGTGTCTGAGTGTCTCGAAGAGCAGCACGGCGTCCTCTATGGCACTGTTTGCACCCTACACACACACACACACACACACACACAGAGGAGGTGTCCTGCAAGCACACATAACGGCATTGGTAGGTCACCAGCCCTAGGGTGGGCAGCAGGCAGTGTGCGGCGTCGCCGATGAGCACCGCCCCGTCAGAAGAGTAGGAGGGCAGCTCGGGCAGGTCATACCACCGCCACAAGACGGGAGCGTTGGACACAGTAGTGGCCAAATGGGCGTCTGAACGAACCGATGGATGGATGGATGAATGGATGGTGCGTGTGAGTGATGAGTGTGCGTGTGGATATCGGCTCGGCGCACCTCCCGCTTCTTTGAGTGACGCCTCGGCCGCACCCCACTTGATGTAGGACAAAACCGCCGATACCATCGGCACTGAAAACCCTGCAGACCATCCATCCATCCATCCACAGCACCACAACGATAAGCGCTTTATGTGCCCACCTCTGAACTGTCCCTCCACAAATGTCTTCCACTCCATCGGGGTGCACTTGGCCAGAGCCCCGTGAGGGCACTTTCGCCTCTCAAGAGCTTCGTGGACGCAGAATACCCAGCCCACTGTGTGAGGGGCGCAGGGGATGAGCAGCATGCTCACGCCGGCACGTAGGTAGTAGTCGAATGCACGGCCACGGCAGCACTCGCGCAGCAGCCGGGCTGGTGGGGACCTGTGCAATGGCGACAGCTCAATCAACCCACCTGTAGCAGCACACACACACACACACACACACACACACAGAGAGAGAGAGAGAGTCTGTGTCTGTGTGTGTGTGTGGTGAGCGACCTACCGATGCTTGTGGCGGGTGCTTCCTGCGGCTGCGGTGCTTCGGGAAAGATCAGCCGCCGGACTGTGGAGCTGCAGCCATCCGCACCGATGAGCACGTCACCCTCGGCCGTCGTCCCATCCGCGAAAGTCACACTCACGTTCATCGGACGGCACTCTGTTACACATAGAACACACAAGTACAGACACAGAAAGACGATCTTCATGTGTTTCCGTGAATCCAATCATCTGTGTGTATCACACCAATGTGAGCGACTTCCTTGCCGAAGTGGATGTGTCTGCGCATGGGCCGCTGAAGGCGCGACAGCAGGGCACGGCGGGGCACGTCCACACCCCAGGGAGGCTCGCTGGCGTCCAGGGAGCTGCAACACATGGAGGGAAGGAAGATGGTCATTCATGTGTAGTCAGTCGTTGGATGTCATCCACACGTACATGTTGCGGATCAGTTTGCCGTCCGCATCGAAGAACCTGACCTGGGAGAGGGCCAGGCCGAGGCCACCTGCCGGATGAGATGAGATGAGATGACAGCCAGAAGCATCAGATCAGAGCACCAACCCACACACCTCACGAACCAACCCAGACAGACAGACGTGCTTCCGTCCCGACTGTCTTATTACCGGTGCTGATGCCGAGCTCTTTGAGAGCGTTGAGACCGTTCCGCCACAGGTAGTAGTTCACACCGCCATATCGATGGCGCTGACGACTGCACACACACACACGAGTCGGACACAAGCAAGATTCGCTGCTCTGGAGTGCAGTCGTGACCTCTCGAAGATCTGCACTGAGTGTCCGTGGTTTTTCGCCGCCTTCCCCGCGGCGAGGCCCCCGATCCCGCCGCCAACCACCAGCACGCGCAGACGCCTGCAGAGATGCAACAGGCCACATGCAGACAAGGTGGTTCTCACACATGCCATTCATGCCTCTGTGTTTTGTTGCCATACGTGTGTTCCTCTGCTGTGCAGATGGCCGTCCAGAGCAGGCCCAGCACGAGGGAGGGAAGCATTAGCCTCGTCAGCCTGATGAGGTCTTACACACAGAATGAATCATGGATCAATCATCTTGGGTCCAAACTTTCAAGATCATCCCACATCGGCAGTGCGGAGTACGCTGATTTCGCTCCAAGGGCAAAGGGGGGAGATCTGCACTCTTAGGCTCGCATGATCGAACCTCAGCTGCGTTCGTTCGTGCTGCCGGACCTTCAGCTGCTGCGACATTTGACGTGTTCGACGGCCAATGCTCCCGAGATGACCTAATCTCAACTTCCGCTGATCCAGATCACGACGCTGGTGCTGCGCTGCATCACACAGGTGGTCTTGCTGAGTGAGGTTGTAATGCAGCCATCCGATAGCGACCATGCGCCAGGCCCGGCCTCTGCAGCAGCATCCGCCGCCAAGAAGTCGAGCGGCAGGAAGGCCACAGACGAGAAGGACAAACCGCTTCCGCTGTGGCAGAAGGCTTTCTTGAGAGATGCCGAATTCGACAAGGTGAGGAGGTGACGCCACGCAGGCGCCACACACACAAACACACACAGAGGGGAAGCGGTGCATTGCATCGCTTGACTGCTGGAAGATCTGTTTTTCTGTGTGTGTGTGTTGGTGTATTGCAGAATGAGGTTGCGGACGTGCTTCACTGGACGCGCCAGTTTGCTGCTCTTGTGCTGGGCATCGCGTTCGGCCTGATGCCCGTCAAGGGCATCGTGGGGGTGGCAGGCGGACCTTTACTCATCGTCATCACCGGTAGTTCAGGCAGCCAGGCAGGCAGGCAGACAGCCCACACCAAGTGGTCGTTCGTCTATCTGCTGCATGTGTCCACCCACCTTGTGTTGTGTGTCCGCCAGGCCTGTCGTGGAGTCGATATGTGGATGTGGGCGAGGACGTGATGGAGCCGAAGCACATCCTGATGGAGGGAACACTGCCGGCCATCGGCACATTCCTGGTACACATCACGTGAATGGAGGGAGGGAGGGAGGGAGGGATGGAGGGAGGGAAGAGGTAAACAAGGTGTGCTGATTGGCTGGACCACTTTTCTCTCTCTGCGTGTGCGGTCGCTGTGTTGCGTTTGCGACTTCTTCCTTCCACTCCAGCTCTTTTGGGTGTCGGTGTACACGTTGGTTCACTTCTGACCCCCCCAAGACCCCTCGTCTTTTGCATCCATCTGCACAACATTGCAATCATTGCCGTCAATCAGCTGTGATTGATAGACATGCACAAGGGCCTGCAAGTTCATGCTGACATTCCTGGCACTGACTACAACATCTTTGTGCAGCAGCTCGTGACATAAATGCGCTGGTGTCCACGCTCTCTCGGCCCGCAGAGGTTTCTCAATAAAACACATTCGACAGAGTTAACAGCTGAGAGAGGAAGCGGAGCATCAGATGCGCCTGACTGACTTCACATGGAGCCTTTGTGCTGAGGTGATCAGTAGTCATTGAGTCTCCTCACTCATGCCACGCATGAACCACCATGAAATGCTCACATACGGCGCCATCTGACATACGCCATGTGTGCAGGCAGCCACAAGCCCCTCTCTCAATTTGATTCAGAGCGAGGCTGCGAGCCGGCCCGCTTTTTGTGGCTAACGGCAAGTTAACGACTTTACGAAGCCTGTACGAGACAAAGAAAAACGAAGGCTCTACCCCCCCTCCTTTCCTTCTTATGAAGACCTTGTGGCTCCTCGCTCTGGGCATGCTTGCCTTGGCTGCCGCGCAGGAAGCCAACGGCGTGACGTCTGCGGATGACGCTCAAGAGGCTGACGCTGTGAGCGCTGAGGGTGGCCTGCGTGGGCTGACATACTACACCACTGAGCATCGTGAGAGTGACGCCGCGAGCGAGCAATCATCATGCATTCCCACCGGATATCTGGGATGCCGCTCTAATTCCGATTGCTGTTCCAATTGCTGCACACGAGCTCTGGCACAGCGCCGCTGTATGCCCCCATGGCACTGCACCTCTCATGCCGGTGGTTTGCGGGGCTGCGGTGTGCCTTTGCCGCAGATCCAAACCGCTCCTCCCCTTGAGCCTGTTTGACTCTGCGTGCTCATGGATGGGACTGTATTTGTGAGGGTCACGGACACACAGACGAGTGTTACGGTTATAATTAATGCAATCTTTGTTGTGTGTGTGCACAGTTCATCGTGACACAAATGCGCTGGTGTCCACTCTTCGGCTAGCCTGGCCTCCTCCTGACCCCCCCAGACCAAAGAATTAATCCATGTGTTGAGTTCGGCTCTTTCTTCCTTCGGCCGTCGGATAATCGATTTATTCTTCATGCACTCGCCGTTTGCTCGCATGGCATGGCGTCCAATTCAACAACCAGTCGTCACACTCAGACACACACACACAGCAGACACGGACGCGGACAGGTCGCACACACACCGATAAACGCGCGGCTGCCTTATCTTATCATCGACTCGGTCTGTCCTTTACTCTCTGTGACATCCACACATCCACACATCCATCTGTGTACCCCCAGGGCCTTCTTACACACACACACACACACACACACACAGGTAAAAGCACTCACTCAGTGCACTCGGAGAAGGGCAGTCAGTGAGATTTGTGACCCCAGACCAAACACCATCCACCGCACACGACCGACAGGCGACGCTGAGAGCTTGTTGGAACCCTCAGCAGCGACCTGACCGCAGTCCACGGCAAAGGTGAATGATCTGTCTGTCTCACGCGACGCGAACACGCCACCACGAGTCGCGTGCTGTGTGTTGAGATGTCCTGGCTGTTGCTGGGAAGTGTCTGTGTGGGTGTGGGTCGATCTGTGCACCGCCTGCTGCTGCTCGTGGCGGCTTGGCGATTACCAAGACACCACTTGCAACAGCAAGAGGGGGTCCATCGACCCCACACACCACACATCCATTCGGCCAAATATCAGTGCTAGTCTCGGCGAAAAGAGCCCTGCCTGTCGCATCGATCGCATCCACCGGCGACACAACGTGCGATTCTTGCCTGCCTGAGAGAGCATCACATAGGGAGGGCCAACAGGGCCGTCCGGTCACTTGGGGGGTAAAAAGGCAGAGACGATACACCGACGCATCGCGATATACGCCACATCACGCCACCCACGCCACGCGAGGCCACGCACACAGAAATAACAGGTAAATAAAAATGAGGGTCACAGAAAGACACACAGGCAGGCAGGCAGGCAGGCAGGCAGGCCGGTGAAAGGTGTGCTGTGGTGGCTGCGTCGCGTGTGTGGGTGTGGTGTTTCGTTCTCTCTCTTTATGCGATGTGTGTGTGCACGCTTGAAAAATAATACTGATGTGGTGCGATCGATAGACGATAGATATGGACTCATACAGTAAGTGAACCACCCAGACCATCCATCCATCCATCCCCCCCGTGTGTGTGCTCACACGTGGATTCACACCGCCCCCCTCCGCTCCCCTCCCCCTCCCCCCGCCCCACAACCAAGACCCACTCACTACGGATGGGATGGCGACAGATGGACAGAAACAGGTGGACATGTTGTCAGTTGGTGGCAAGAAAGTCTCTCCACACCCAGAGAGGCTGTAGGTGGGTGGCAAGACAGACAGACAGGCGGACAGGCGGACAGCTAGGTATACCAATCCCCTCCCTCCCTCCCTCCCCCACCCCACTCACACCCCGCCAGGCACGCAATGCGACTAGATGAACTGTAGTGTAGTGTAGTGTAGTGAAGCTCACGCAGCCATTGATTGAAGGATGACATCGTTCTCTCCTCTCTCCTCCTCTCTCCTTCTCAATCTCTTCTCTCATCCATCTCGTCCGCCTATCTATTCACACACTCTGTCTTCTCTACCCACCCCCTTCCACCCCCAACCAACACACACACACACACTCAGTGGATGAAGGAGACCATGAATGCGATGCTGCGAAACCTCACCCAACACCCCACCCAACGCCTTCTTCATCTCTGTCTTCATTTCGTTGTCAGGCCACAACCCACCACCCCACCCAGCAGCCACAAAAATAGCCAGTCTGTGTGTGTGTGTGCGTCGGGGTGTCTCTGGCGGTCGGTCGGTCGGTCTGTCAGTCAGCGGCCGGCCACAATCCCCCCCTCTCAGCCCAATTGCAGTCTGCAGAGAGGGGGCAGGCCTGGCGCGCACACACGCACACACACGCACACACGACTGGCCACTCACACACCCACACACCCACCCCCAAACACACACGTAAGCACGAAAGACGTGTAGACGGATGGATGGATCGAATTACGCATTACTGGTTGGTACACACACACACACATCCAGCCTCCACCCATCGGCTGCATTTTCGTCAGTCACAAATTGGTTGGTCGTTCCATTTGTCTGTCTTGTCTGTCTGTCTGTGCGGGTCTCTTAAGAGACACAGAGGAGATAAAAAGGGCTGCGTTGAACCACACACACACACAGAGAGGGAGGGAGGGAGGGAGAGAGAGAGGCTAGGCTAGGCTAGGAGTAAAAAGGGGTCTGGTGAGGCTCCGGCCAGCCAGACACCAGCTCACTACACAACACACCATACCATCCACACACCACACCACACCACACCACACAAGGCAGCTAGCTCAACACAGCCCAATCCATCCATCCATCCATCAGTAAGCGCATGTACGTTGCTGTACAACGCACCCACCCACACCCATGGCCCATTGCGCATTATACCCATTAGACCCATTCCCCATAACACATCCGCCCGTCCCTCAGCCCAGCTCATCAGACGAGGTCATCGCTCTCCTCCTCGCTCATCTCGTCCAGCGCCGTAAACATTATCGGCACGCTCGGACCCTCCGCAAATATCCCAGCCGGCAGCATCACGCCGCCAGCACCAGCCCCCTTGCCACCCCCAGTCCCACTGCTACTGCTGCTGTTGCTGTTGTTGTTGCTCACCTCGCTGGACTCAGACACACCATTGCCCCCATGGCCGTTGCTGCTGCTGTTGCTGCTGCTGGTGGTGGTCGCTGTGGTGCGGTGGTCCCACGACGGTGGGCTCATAAGGCCGGCAGTCGGGGTCGAGCAGGTCGTGGTCGGTGTCCACTGCCCACCACCACCAGAAGGGCTGCTGCGGCAAGCAGGCGGCGGCCGCGACCGCACGTGTGGGTGCGCATGGGAGTGGGCGTGTGCGCGTGGCGACGCAGCCACACAATGGTGACGGCGAAGTGACGCAAATGGGGTGCTGGGTGGAGGAGGGGGCGGCAGGAACACCTCTTCCCTCCCCACAACAACAGCAGGGGCAGCGGCATCATCTCCTCTCTCTCTCTCCTTTGCGGCAGCACCAGACGCAGTGGGTGTGGGGGTCGGCTGCTCGCTGCCGCTCACATCGCCCCAGTGACATCGCGCCGGGGTCGGTGTGAGGGAGAGAGACAGCGGCGTGTCCGGGGGCGTGCTCGTGCTGGGGCTGCCGTCGCTCGCCACCAAGCTGCCGATAGACGATGACGCCGACGAGTGGGCTGAGGGGGAGGTGGGGAGGGAGAGCCGCAGCTTGAGCTTGGTGGCGAGCCTCCTGGGGGCGGGTGGCGACTGCAGTGACGCAATCGACGCTGTCGGCGAAGCTGCGGCTGCGAGGGGGGGAGGGGAGGGGGCGTGCGGCAGGCTTATGCTGAGAGTCATCACAGGCGAGGCGTCTTCGCCAGCACCCCTCGGCTGACTCTCAACTCTCTGCAGACAGACAAGAGACGCAGACACACGGAGAGAGAGAGAGAGAGACCGTGTGAATGCTCTGCTCTCTATCTCTCTCTCTCGCTCTCCCTCGCACCTGCTGTCCGTGGGATCGTCTGGGAGTCGGGCCATGCACCGTGGGCGTGCTCGTGGGTGAGAGGAACCCCACCCCCCGGTAGTATCTCTGCTGCCACTGCGCGAATCCCCGGCCGCTCGACTCGCTCCCCCTCTCCAGAGGCACTCCAAGCGACCGGCCACACGGGGTCGGCGTCGACACTGATATGGGCGGCACGCTCACGCCCACACTGCGACGGACTGAGGGCGTGGTTGACGGCAGCAGGGGAGTGGTGTCCATCTCGATCTCGCCGCTCACGCGGTCGACAATCCACTCACGGGGCGGCAGAGGGATGGAGAGGCCCACCGAAGGCGACTGCTGCTGCTGCTCCTGCTGGGGCTGTGGCTGCTGCCGCCGCTGTGCTTCTTGCTTCTCGCTCCTGGATGCGGGCGACGAATCGGTGGCAGCAGCTGCTGCCATGGCCACTGATAAGGGCGAGGATACCGGTGGCGGTGTGAGGGTGGGTACGGTGGGCGGGATGGTGTGGTGGATGAAGGGGTGCTGCAGGGCCTCTGCGGCCGTCAGCCGCTTCTGCGGATCGGGGTTCAGCAGGTGCTGCAGCAGGTCCGTCAGGTGAGCTGACAGGGGGGCGGGAGAGGGAGAAGGGGAGGGGGAGGGGGAGGACGGATCGCCCTTGCGGATCGCACTGATGAGCGAGCGAATGCCACGAGTCAGGAAGTACCTGGACACACACACACACATCAACCAGAGAGAGCGACGGATGGTACTAAACAGACGTGGTGTGGTGAGAGTGGAGGGGATGGGAGGTGTGCAGACCCGACGTACCGGTATGCTCTGTCAGAGCAAGCGGCAAATCGCCACGGGAGGCGCCCGACGGCGAGACCGAACCCCACCACCCCACACGCAAACACGTCCACAGGCGGACCTTCATAGTGGCTCAGGTAGCAGCCACCGCCACCATGGACACCACCATCAGCGCCACCACCAGCACCAGCACCGCAATCAGACTCCCTGCCCCTCGCGGCAGCCGCCCATCTCGCAGCCGTCACCTCCGGCGCCCGGTAGCTCGGCTTGCCCACCTTGTCGGCAAAGGTGCGCTCGGCCCGGCCCTCCTCGCCCCACCGCCACTCAGCTTGGCCAAAGTCGATGAGCCGCAGGTTGCCGTCCCGGTGCAGGACGACGTTCTCGAGCGAGATGTCCCTGTGTGTGACGCCGAGGGCGTGCAATGACGACACGGCCGAGAGGATGTTGCGCAGGTAGGCCCGGCAGAGGCTCTCTGGGAGGGCTCGCTCGTGTGGGCTGCTCCTGCTGCTGCTGGTACTGGTGGGTGATGGTGTGGAGGGGGAGGGGGAGGGCGCTGGAGAGGGTGTTGGAGAGGGGATGGCGCTGGACTTGGTGGCGGTGGTAGAGGTCAGGACCTGCAGCAACTCGCCCTCGTGGCAGTAGTCGGTGACGATGACAACGTCCTGACACGTGATACAGGGAGAGACATGTCGTCATGCCAGCCATGTGTAACAGCGAATCGAATGCCACACCCGTGCCATCCCCACCGCCCACCCACGCCACGCACCTGCTGGTCGATGGCCACATCCATGATATCCACCACCCCGTGTGTCTCGCCGCCGCCCTCCTGCAGCTGCACGTCCATCAGATACCGCGAGATCCACGCCTCCTGCGGCACCGACGACCAATCCGCAAAACTAGCGGCAGACACGGGCATCTTCAGCCGCTTGATCACATGCAGCTCGTCGGTGAGGCGGTGCCGGGCGAGACACACCGAGGGACCCCTCTCCCTGTCTGAGAGGGTCCGCACAAGGCCGTAGTCGGCTGAGCTGAAGGTGGGGAGGGAGAGAGGAGGCGCTCCCACGCCTCCCTCTGTGTCGAGATCGTTATAGACCACCATGCTGCTGTTCTCGTGTTGCTCTTGTCGTCGGATGATGCCGTGTCATCCTTCCTCGGTTGTCGCGTCTTCCGTCGAGAGATCAGATCAGATCACGTCACGCTGTGTCGAGAGATCTTCGGGAGATCAACCGGTGTAGACCAAAACAAGCGCACAGACAGACTGGGAGAGACCCAAAAGTCGGGAAGAGTCCTCTCCTCTCCTTCATCAGAAGCTCGCAGAAAAGCTCGCAAAAGAAAAAATTGTCCGTCTCGAGAACCCCGTCAGATCTCGTCAAGAGGTAAGCCGAGGTGAAGGCGAGCAGGTGACCACGAAAACGAGACGGCTCCACCATTCACTTTCGCTCTCCAGGTGTGGATTGCAGATCTAGAGTCCTTCGTGCGAGGAGTCGCTGTTAATAACCATCCGTCCGTCGGCACTGAGTGCAAGCGCATCGCATTATGGCACCGCCCAAGAGAATATCGACCAGAGTCAAGGAGGAGCTCGGTATGCCAGCTTAGCTTGGACCATGACAGTACAGTCACTGTGGGTGGATGGGATGCTGTCAACGATGTGTGTGTCGCATAGATGAGGTGACTAAGATGGTGGAGAAGATGGAGAATGAGCTCAAGGCCGCCCACAAAGCAGAGCTCGAGAAGAAGGACAAAGAAATCGCAGAGCTCAAGACGTGAGCACACAGCAGACCAACCATTGCAATTGGCAACGAACCGACATTGGCAATACCTATGTGTGTCGACTCGGCTCAAACTGCTGCTTGTCAGGAAGCTGGAGAAAGACGAGGTGAGCACAGTGACGCACACACACGAGGGAGGGAGGGAGGGGTAGGGTGTGTGAGCGGGTGTGAAGTGAATGTGTGTGCGTCTGATCAGACGCCCTCCGGCAAATGAGACTTTTCAACACGTACGGCACGTCAGAATGCACACGGAGCCAGACAGACATGCACACCCAATCACGCACTGACAGGCAGGTGTGATTTGTGTTTGCAGGTAGAACAACACGAGGCACACACGACCGACACCTGTGCGGCCTCTGGGCGCGGCGCGGCGCGTGGCACTTAGGTCGGTCTTCCTTACAGGCGGGATGATGGAGCGTAGGTGGTTGCACACAACACAGCACACTGCCTAGTCTTTATATACTTACGGCATCTATGTGTGTATATGTGTCGATACGAACGCACTTTATGTAGTAAGCCACTTTTGCCTTGCCCCTGACGTGTGCTGTGCGTGTGGGCTTAGAGGTTGGGGCGAAGGAAGGGACTCGAGTCACGCTACTCATTGGTAGTAGCTAAACGTCTGTGTGTGGCCGTCCATCGATCCCTATGTTCAGCCAGCCACAGCACATTCACCTAGCCGATTCCTTGTCAAGCGTCACAGCCCACCTTCCACCCCTCACACGCATCACCTCCCGCACTCGCATCCCACACACACTCTCGCCCTCCTCCAGCACATCGACAACTGCCATGCCACCCATGGCTCTCCCAGACAGCACCAGCACCACACTGCTCACATCCCCCCTGCCGCCCAGGTGCGACAGCACCGAGTCGAGAGCAGTTCTGTCCTCAGCACGACGGTCGTCTCCAGGCCACAACAGCACGCACACCACTCTGCTGCCGCTGCTGTCGTCGTCTTCGCAAGTGGCTTGTGTCAGGTCAGGCGTGCTCGTCAGGTGGTGCTGGAGGGAGAGGGGTGTGGCCGCTGAGGGTGTGGTGTCAGAGTCTCCATGGCAGGGAGGGGAGGGCGGCACGTAGAGGGCGTGGTAGGCGATGCTCGGGGCGGGGGCGGGGGCGGGGCCATTGTCGTCGTGGCTTTGCTCGGACAGATAGGGCAGCAGGTGGGCGTCGATCGCACCCATCAGCTCAAGCTGAAGCTGCGTGTGGACACACACACACACATACATACCCACACGTACGGCAGACGGCATTCATTAATGCATCGACCCACCTTGCGGACGTGGGTGTTTCTGGTGTGGCTTTGCCTCTCGGCCTCCGCGCGCCGGCGGAGGGCACATTGCCTGTCGGTCACCAGCTCCCCATTGGCCACCGCCAGTCGCAGATCGGCCAACGAGTCGCAAGACGCTATCACGCCCTGAACCACTCAAGCGCAGGAAGGACACCAACCTTATCTCTCGGTGCACTTATTGCCTTGTGGGTCACCTTGAACGTGCCCCGATGTGTGTCGTGTGGTGTCTTGCGGCCGTGGTCCATCACCATGGCCGCCATCCGCCCCTCTCCACACATGGGCACCCACACATGCCAACCACCGCCACACTCTCCCTCCCTCTCGACCAGGCGGCTGACGATGCGGCGCATGACGGTCGGCGGCAGACGCCCCGGGAGCGAGTCGTCATCCTGCGCTTGCTTGCCTGCGTCACGGTGGCGGTGCAGCAGACGATTGGCCAACACATCCGGGGCGAGGAGAGGTGCATCCACAGCAGCCGGACTCGGGTGGGCTTCGATGCAGAAGTGGCGGTACCGCTCGTTCTCTCTCTTTCTGTCCGCCATTTGCATGTGGAAGGCTCCCGGCCTTGCCCTGCGGTAGCGCCACACCTTCACCGGCCTGGTGGTGGACGAGGGTGGTGAGAAGAAGTGCTCGATCTCCCTCGCCGCCTGGCTGGGGGCGTCGGGGCCGTGCACCTTGTTGGTGACCAGCAGCAGGGCCTCATAAGCCGAAGGGTCGCCCGCAAAGGGCCCCGCCCACTCGACGCGCAGCCGCTGCTTGAGCCGCAGCCACGCGCCGGTCGCACCACCGGCAGGGCGCTCGAGCAGCCACCCCTCCACCATCCCACTGCATACCCACACACACACACACACACACATGAAGGATGCATCTCTTGCCGTCTGAGAAAGTCACCTGGAGAGGTATTCAGCCGCGGCGTCATGGCGCGTCAGGTTGAAGGAAGACCCGTCGTTCATTTCTGCGGTATCGTCAGGATCGTCAGGCCAGCCCCATGAGCACCACAGGAAGGCCATCGCCTCTTGGAGCGTCCACTGTCGGCTCTCACGTAGCCGAATGGTGAAGCCTTCTCGCTTGAGCCGCTGCTCCAACACACCACGATACCCATGGCCGTCCTGAATGAAAGCAACCACAGACACACACACACACACACACATTCACCGTGCCGGACGCTCGCTTCTCTCATTTCTCGCATTACCTACCGGCTTGATCAGAGCGAAGGTGACGTCTGAGCGGCACACCTCAATCGCAGCCTGGCCATCGCCTCGTGCAGTGGCAGACAGCCTGAGCCGCGAAACACGGCCACTTCTTCTTCTCTGCTGATGGGCGCATCTGGTGTGCAGAGGCCGTGGCTGTGTCAGCAGCAGTGCCAATGCGGCAGGGATGCAGAAACAGACGGCGGCGATGAGCAAACTCACGATGGAATGAATGGATCTCACGAAATCCGGGCAAGCGGAGCTGCCCGAATGGCTCCCTGGGGCCGGGAAAGGCACAGATCTCTCTTCTCCCTTCTCGCCTTCTTCAGCAAGCTCAGCTGCCAGCTCGCACGCGGTGAGAGGGAACCGCTCCTCCTGTAAGAGGGAAGAGGAGAAGGCGTCAGATCCATGTCCATTGGCGCATGATGGACGTGACTGATGAGTTCTTTCGCGTCGTGAAGAGGCTCCGGCCCGGCCTGAGGGTGGCACCGCTGCAGCCGAACGAGTCGCCATTCGCCGCCATGTCCATGCAAATCGTCAGTGAGCCGACACACACACACAGAGTCGCACACACACACCAGCATGACCAATGGGAGACCGCTTCAATGCTTGTGTGTTTGTGGTGTGGTGCAGATGTCGAACCTGGTTCGTGCAGAGCGTCTGTTGGGCAACATGAGCGCCGCTGGCGGAAACGATGCAGCCACAGACCCATCAGGCACCACTGCCGTGTATGTCTGTCTGCACACACACAGACAGACAGACAATGGATGCCGTGTGTGTGTGTGTGTATGTGTGATTCTCTGAGTAGAGGCGTGATCCGGATGTGCAAAGAGGACATCCAGACGCTCGAGAGCGTGGTGGACGTCCACACCCACACCCACGCCGACGCGTCTTCTGCGGCGTCGCTGTCCGCCCACCGTCATGGAGTGGTGTCGTGCCTTTACGACTACCTGCAGACACTCGCACAGAGGCTGCAGCAGCTGGAGGTCAACAGAATGCAGCAGCAGCTGGAGGTCAAGCGGTGAGAAATGGGGGCCCAGGTGGTGGGGGAGGGGGTGATGGGATGGAATAGGACAATGAACTGGGTTTGTGGCTGGTCGTGTGTGTGGGTGTAGGTATTTCTCCGGGCCTGGGTATCGCGGCGGGCCGGTGAGGGTCAAGAACAACGCGCATATGCCGGTTGAGAGTACGCGAGCAATCCCACCCAACACAAATCCATCCATCCATCAATAGCCTCTCTCTCTCTCTCTGTGTCTGTGTGTGTGTGTGTGTGTGTAGGGAGCGACGCCTTGTCGTATGCGCCGGCTGCGTGGGGGGAGTCCACCTCTCTCGCTGTGGATGAGGCCACGCAGCAGCAGCTGTCGGCTCAGACGCAGCAGCTGCTCAACATGTACAACACCGACCTTGACGCACTCAGGTGAGCGGTGTTTGCACCAACGAAGAGGTGCTGGAGGGTGTGTGTGTGTGTGTGTGTCAGGGATGCGCAGAGCAAGGTGTCGGAGATCTCTCAGCTGATGGGCTTCTTCGCCACCAAAGTCGCTGAGCAAAACGAGCTGTGCGAACAGAGTGAGTACGGCAGTGGACGTCATGGGCGGGCGGAATGACACCATTCATTCATCTGTCTGTCTGCGTGTGGTCAGTTGCCAGCATGGCTGGCGAGAGTGTGGAGCTGATGGGCAAGGCCGGCAGACACCTTTCCAAAGCCATCCAGAGATCCAACTCGTATGAAGGAAGTTTTCTCACATAACAGTGGGCTGCGCCATACGCGTGGATGTGTGTGTGTGTGTGTGTGTGTGCAGGTATCGGTTCTACTGCGTGATGTTCTTCATTGTGGCCTCGGTGATCTTGTTGGTTCTAGACTGGATCAAGTCGTAGAGAGCAGTGCTGCCAGCCAGCCATCGGCAGCTGCGTGTACAGGTCTGTCTGTGTGTCGGTCTGTCTGTCTGTCGGCTCTGAGTGTGTGTGTGAGAGAGAGAGAGCGAGCGAGGCAGTGAGACCTCACACACGAGAGTGACTGTCATGATTGAAATCAGCCATCCTATCCAGCCTTGCCTCTCTCCTTGCCCTCCCTCTCTGGCAAGCACTCCCCCACCCTCCCTCTCCAGTCTTTGCTCTCCCCATCCCATACGTAAGGCGGCACCCTCCCCCTCCCCCCCCACAGCGGAAACTCACTCACAGCCGCCGGGCCGTGGTAGACCATCAGCCCGGCCACCTGGCCCTTGGTAGCCGCCGCACCCAGACCTTTGACGCCGCCCATGTGTTGGCTCGCGTAGGCGTTGCCTGCACTTGCACCAGCTGCGGTGCCTGTCGCGGGTGCGCCTGCTGCCGCTGCTGCTGCTGTGGTGGTGGTGGTGCTCCGCTCCATGTCGGGCGTGAGATACTTGGCGCGAATGCGGTTCTGGCAGTAGAGGTCGAACAACACCTGAGCGGCCAGCCAAGAGAGATAGAGAGA